ATAAAACAGTAGAATTACTGTGATGCAAGGATAAAAGCCTTTAGAGTTAAAAAGACCAGAGGAAAAATATAAGCAAGACTACAATCAACAGAGAAATATCTGATAAAGATAGTTTGTAAAGGAATAGTGTTTCTAATGAGTAAATGAAAATTTTATCACTGACTTGCATGAGACTGTTTAAAGTGCAATTCAAATATATTAGCTGCTCATGGTGAGTGGACTACATTGTTAAGCTTATTTTCTTAGTTTGTATCTCAAACTAAGAAACTCAGAGGGTGGGGGCATGGGACCCTTTCTCAAATGCTTAATAAGTTTGAGCAAGTCTTCAAATTAGAAATTTGTGACATTGTTTTTACATTTACTGTACTTTTTATACAGAAAGGCATTTAAAATATGCAGACAAGGGTGTTTTTGCTTTTATCAGTGCTTTTGGGGCCTGGCTATGAAATTCTTTGCATGAAAAGAAAATCTCCCTGATTATCACCGGCAGATTATACTCTTTTCTGAGTTTTGCTACATATAATTTCACAATATGTAGCCTTTAAAATAATAAGCAGAAAATATGAACATAGCCTTCCTTACAAAAAAGTTCCTCCTTTCTATGAAAAGATCATATTTTTAAGCTACTGCACTAACAGTGTAAATAAATTAGCATCTGTGATCATGAAAACAGTGAAAAACATTTATCATACAAATACATTGACTCTAATCTTTTAATACATTGACTCTAATCTTTTCAAAACATTATTTCGTACTCTGGTTTCTCTTCAAATCATGTAAATCTCTCATCTTTCACTAAAGATTACCAAGGAGAGGGATAACTGAGTCTTGAGCCAAGTTTTTGATGCTTTGCTTCTTTAGAACTAATAAAAAAGTTTATATTTAATTCACATCAGTTTTTATTAGGGCTTTTTGAATTTTTTCATCTCTGAAAAGAGTACATGCTCTCTCTCTCTCTCTCTCTCTCTCTCTCTCTCTCTCTCTCTCTCGGATGTGCTTGGGATCCCATTTGCCATCTTGAATCAGAACATTGGTCTATATGACTTCCTTTGCCCAAGGTCCATATACACTTGCTTGTACAGTTCAATAGTTCTTAAATATATTCACAAAGCTACGCAATCATCACCATTATCTAATTCAGACCATTTTCATCATTCCAAACAAAGTCTCATACCCTATGGGTTTGCTTACCCTGGTTATTCATATAAATGGAATTGAGCTTGTGCTCTGTTATCTTCTATCTAGTCTCTTATTTATTCTCTACACCTAGTTTGTTTCACTAATGTAAACTTCACCCATGTTATAGCATGTCTCCTTGCCTCATTCTTTTACATGCCTATAATTAAAAATAAAATCTTGAACAAAACGTAAATGCAATGTATCCTTTAATACAAACCTTGGCTTTTCTTGGTAGAGAACACGAAACAAGATATTCAACTTGGAAAATCAGCTTGACCAGTTAATGTTGGTATAAAAAGATAATACAAAAAATTTAATCTTGCTGGGCATGGTGGCGCATGGGGCCCTTTAATCCCAGCACTCAGGAGGCAGAGGCAGGCGGATCTCTGTGAGTTCAAGGCCAGCCTGGTCTACATGGTGACAGCTGGGGCTACAGGGGACCCTGTCCCAAAAAGACCAAAAAAAATTTAATCTCAATAATTAAGAACTAATGAAATTCAGTGGCTAAGGTGGGCATAAAGATTTTTCGTTCTAATCTTAGTGAAAATTAAGAGATAGGCTAAGAAAAAGAAAAAACACAGACTAAACTCTCATACTATGATTTTAATGTTTGTCACCCAGAAGATTTTTGCACTGCTCAGTAGGCACACGCATCTGTCAGATGGACAGAAGTACAAGAAAGAGCAGGAGGCTGCAGCTGAATTTAGAAAGTTAGAGGTGCTCTCATCTGCCACATGAGATGAACGGGGGATTCCTTCCAGCAGGCGAGAAAGCAGAGCACAGACAACAGATGTGAGAAAGGTCCCATAGCTGTCATGTTCCAGCATCCTTGTGCCGAAGAAGGGAGGCGCCAACATGATTGATGTTCGGGGGCCGTATAAAAGCATTGGGTTTCTCCACAGCTGCTTGTCACGTTGACCTGCACCGTCTCTCAACTGCTCTTGGGGTTTCTGTCAACTGGTATTGGAGGGGAGAAAACTCTTTGGAGAATAACATTTTATTGTGGTCATGCCAGAACCCACTAAGAAAGAGGGTAAGAGCATCCATAAATCTTTTCATTATATTTTTAGATATTTTGGTATTTATTTTTAAATATAATTTCTTAAATATAGTATAAAACAGTAGA